TTCTTCTGTGTATATGTCAATAAAGCACTGTTGGCCAATAGGGAAGTAAGATAGGTGGGACTAGAGTCTAGGACGATTCTGGGAAATGTAGCAAAGAGAGTTGTCACCATGTGATCTCCTGGGAGCAATGGGCACTCAAGAGTGTGTCCTCAAAAAGATAAGTCCTTATAAAATATACATTAGTAATTATGGATTAATAATCAAGTCAGAGCTAGCTGAAAAGAAAATAAGCAAATGGCCAACAGCTTCATAATTTAAAAAACTATCAATGTGCTTCTGTTAACATTCTAAAAATCACTTTTGTGAAGACCTTCCTGCAATGATTGTACTAATTATTTGTGCATCATTTAGAAGCAATGAAGAAAATATTTATAAAATGGCTACAAACATGAACACTTATGCATTCTGGTCTTCTTTATAGTACTATTTTGTTCAGCATTTTTCTTACTATTTTATACTAATACATGAATAGCATTTTTTTAATGCTCATGGGTTTAATTTCTGAGGATGATATCATAGAAGCTTCAAGACTGGGCTGGTGAAACCCCCCCCAAAAAAAGCTGACCTGAACAAGGGGGATCTCTTGGAATCCAGACTGATGGCTGAGAGCATGGGACTGATCCAGACCCCCTGAATGTGGGTGTCAGTGAAAAGGCCTAGGCAATCTATGGGGCCTTGGGTAGTAGATCAGTATTTATCCCCGGCATGCAAATGGACTTTGGTGCCCATTCCACAATGAGAAATGCTCTCTCAACCTGAGCTATGGAGATCCGCCATGAAGGGTCTCACCCTCCCTGGGGAACAGAGGGGAGATGGGGGGATGAGTGGGAGGGGGAGGAGGGGAGAGAGAGGGAGCTGGACTGACATGTGAAGCAAGCTTGTTTCTAAATTAAATTAAACTAAAAAAGAAGCTTCCTATTTATTGTAAATTTAATTACCTCCTTAGTAATAAAAGAATTAAAGAAAGACTTTTCCAGAAACATAGCAACTCTGTTCTTCATTATGGAAAATTAATGTTTGATTATTTTAAATGCTTTAGCTTCTATAATTGCAGACATACATTCATTAATGATGCAATATATAGTAAGTTATAAGTGTATATTTTCATTCATTTGTAAGTGCCAAGTAATTGTTTATTATATAGGAAATTATATTCAATTTTATTTATTATTTGTAGAAAATTATTTCAAAAGAGAATAACAATTTTCAGATTCCATATTTTTCCTTTATAGCCCACGCACAATTTAAGAAACCCAAACAAGTAAATTTTGATCTCTTGGTCATCCATGATTAAATGACATCAATAGTAAGAGATTTTGCTGAGGCAATAAAGAGTTCTTACTGTAAGTTGGTTATTCATTATAATCTTTTTACTTGGCATTTAAAATATTTGATTTACTTTTTATTCTTTTTTTATCTGTGTGCATGTGTTGTAAGTATATGCGCATGAGTGTACATACCAGTGAAAGCAAGAAGGGGGCATTGAGTCCCTGAAATTATGTTCCAAGGAGTTATGAAACACAACTGATTTTAGAAAAAAAACAAAACAAACAAAGAAATACACAACAAAAACACTCATCACCTTTGGAAGATAGAAAGTATTTTCTCATCTGTGAATCTCTGTTGCTCTTCATTATAACATTTTAAATAATACTGATTCTGAATCACCATTCTCTTTAATTTATTTAAAAAGCAGCACAGTGTAGAGTTTCACTTAATGAAATTTTGTAAAACCACTAAATAACATCTTGAGAAACAAATTAGTTAGAGGTAACAAACTTATCAAAATAAATGAAGAATAGTCATTTGAGAATTACCTTGGGTTAATTTTTTTGTAATGGCTGCATCTCTAATGTATCTTTCAGAAACAAGAATACTGTTTCCTGGCAGTCTCCAATACCATGTTTTAAAGACAAAATAATTTTTGTTAAATCAACTTAAATATTTAGAACATATTATAACAAACAAATTTCTGTATCGTAAATATATATGTAAACATTTGCCAGTTCAAATACTTCATGCATCCACCTTCCTTGTTACAATCAGAAAATTGCCAGTTAAATCAATAATATAATAAAATGACCAATATTAGCCCAATGCTTCTAGTAATTTAAAGGGATAAGACTCCATAACATAAATGTATCAGAGTTGTAATATATTGCTTAATAGTTCTATATACCATCGGGTCACTCTTTGGTTACTTAATACGTAGATGCAAAAAATACAGTTTGTCCATATAGTCACTGGAGCATGGTCAAACTCCTAGTGCCCAGGTCAATAAAGAAGAATGAGTCTTTTCCCCATCCCTACCTCAGGCAGTAGTCATCTATTGTGGAGAGCTACACTTCAGCATCCTTGTTATGGCTTTTTTTTTTCCTTTTTGGTTTTTTCGAGACAGGGCTTCTCTTTGGCTTTGGAGGCTGTCCTGGAACTATCTCTTGTAGACCAGCCTAGTCTCCAACTCAGAGAAATCTGCCTGCCTCTGCCTCCCGAGTGCTGGGATTAAGGGTGTGTGCCACCACTGCCTAACTTTGTCATTTTTAATTTATTTTTTATTTAAATAAAAAACAATCTTAGTTTACATACCAATACCAGTTCCCTCTCCTGTCCTCCCACATCTCACTCCTCCCCACATCTACTCCTCAGGGATGGAGAGTTTTCTTTGAGAGCTTTCTGTCTAGGTTGTTAGTTTTTCGCGGTGGGGGTAGGGGTTGGCACAGAAGTTTACTGTCTTTCTTTCTCAACTGTGAGTCTCCAGTCATGGATATCAGTGCAGAAGAAGCTTACTTGTCCTTTACCTTCATCGGGAGTGCTTATCATGGACTTCCACATGGTATCTGGCAACAGCAGTTACTATATGGACAGCAAAAAATTAGCCTTTTAAAATTGTTTTTGGAGAAAGACACAAGTGTGGTGCCAGGCATGGAAGGACTTGGTAGAAAATTCCCAAATAATCAATACAAAGTAACATAGTTTGCAATTGTACGTATTAAGATATGAAAACACATTGAAAATTGAATTAAACTTACTAGATGAATGGAAAGCACAATAAAATGTTCCCATACCCCATTATGCATTCGATGGACCTAATTGAATTTTTGAGGAATACTTTTATTAATGAGTTAGTGATAATTTCTCTTACTAATAAAGTTAAAAGAAGAAAATACAACAAATGGTCTACCTTTAGGATTTGGGGCATATTTGTCCAAAGCAAAGAAGAAATTATCAATGTATTGTTAGCTATTCATATATATTAGCATTTGGTGAAATATTTTAAACTTCAGTACTATAATTAACAGAAATGTATTTTTTACTGAATATTCAAGTTTTGGGTTACAAACATATAATTACTACTTTAAAATAATTTATTTGGTGTTTAACTTAGACTTGTGACAAATAAAAATATCTGATCCAAATGCAACATTCAGCTGATTCTATACCTCAGACAGTAACATTGATAATTGATGTTATATGACAACACACTTATAATTCATGCATTATTTTAATGGCTTATTACAAGTATTTTATTATCTTTATTGCTATTTTCAAGCAAAATTCACAAGACTTTTAAGATTTAATTCCCTAGTCTTGCCAATAGTAGAAACCACAGAAAAAAATGTAAAAATGATTTTCCGTCATTTATTTCATGAAGCAACTGATCCATGCAAAAGTTTCAGAAGATTCACCCCATCCGTCATCAATGAGATTCTGTCTGGGGGAAGCCTAGAGATTTCCACACGTCTTATGAATGGATATAATTCATGAATAAGAATGCACTTCAGGGGATCTTGAAATCATGTCATGTCTTTTCAGTTAAAGTAGGCAAAGAGTAAGCACTTAAAAAGCAAGTCCTAAAGCCCAGAAAGGCTCTTTTAAAAGGCCATTATAAATGAAGTTCTGAGAACTCTGGCTCCAGCAATGATAAAAAGGTTAAAAACTTGCCTTGGCAATGTTACTGTATGATCATCTTATTTTAAATTTACATTGTCAGCCACTTTGAACCAAGCATGCTCATGATAAAGTTCAGAGATGTGAAAGGATATCATGGGAAGGCAAGAGCATTTTCTTGAAAAGAAATTTAAGACAACACAAAATATTAAATGACCCAACTTTAAAACTGTGATCCTTCTTGCCCAAGGCAACAAAACAGATTATTTTAAGCCTTCAGTTGTTCATGTATGTTAATATTTGGTACACAGTTTTAAGTTTAAGAATTATAATTGATAGGAAAATGATCATTAATGACACATCTGCATTTGAATAGCAAGACAAAATATTCTTTTTTAAAATTTGTAAGTTGCTTACAAAATTTCAGCAGTAATTTGTAGTTTGACTTTCTTTTCAGTCACCAGCCTGCAAATAATGACATGGATATTTATTATTAATTATGACAACATGGGCTTAGCTTAGACCTTCTCCCAACCAGCTCTTATAATTTGTATTAGCCTATTTTTAGTAATCTACATTCTGCCACATGGATCAGTTACCTTTCCTCTATACCATATGTAGGACTTCTGCAGTGTATTATGGGTATCTCTTACACATCTAGATTCTTTCAGAGTTCATCTCTTTCCAGGAAGTACTGTCTAACTTCTTCAACCTAGCTTTTGGCCATTCAGCCAAACGAATCACAATGAGCATCTTCACACACTGTAAGCAAATATTGCACAGCAGTAATTCAAATAAGAACCTAATTTATAAACAGATATTTATAAATATAAACTCTTCTTGCTTTAACAAAATATTGGAAATTGATTAGCCCTTATGGCTTTTGTAAAAGAAGAATGCTCTAAGCTAAGTAATGGAATAATTTTACAATGTGAACTAAAATATTTTCTATCATATATTCTTCTTTCCATCTTAAATAGAAAAAAGAGAAAAAAATCTCAAAATTTCATGTAGTCAAATTTTTCATAATAAATTTTCCTGCTGTTGCTATAGTGACGACAATAAAGTTCTTGATTCTATTCATGTAGTCAGTGTTCTAAGCAGAACACTTGAAAAGCTAAGATAAAGAAAATGAAGACCCTGTTAGTCCTCATCTTCAAGTAAACAACCTTGAGTTTGTTCACAATCACAGAACTCAACCACTTTTAGCAATTTTAGTAAGTATAAATTATTATAATCTCTCTCAGTTTAACCCTAAAAATTATACCACAGAGATGGATCCTCACTTTTTATTATTGCAGGTTAAAGACATTGGACAAAGAATAGTTAAGCTAATTTTGGATATTTTTGTGGGAAAAAGTCAATGAATGAGTCAAAGATCCTCTTCATCATTTTCTATCCATCATAAAGCTGTATTTTTCTAACAATCCAATGATTGTGTACATTTTGCTTCAGTGGCACATTGTTCCAGTATCATTTCTTTTCAGTGTTGAGGCAAAGGAAAAAGCTTAAAAGCAGGGAGTTCTGGTCTAGCTGGATGAATCATCAAAGACAAGTCAGAGACAAAGCACCACTCAGATACATGTTCTACCACACTGGCATAAACGTGATAGTAATTACTTTAAATCATTTGAATATTTTACATAGCTTTAAGAATTGCTGGTTTAGAAAGAAAAAATGTGAAATGGTTTAGAGAAGGATGGATAGCATTTTATATCATTTTGACAAATTAGCAATGATGCTTACTTCAACTCTCAAGATCCAAATGCTTATTTTAAAACAAGCATAGTTCATAAATGTAGTGTACCAAAATTCTTGGCATGGATCCAATTGTAATTACACTATAAAGAAGCGTGGATTTTGTGTGCTACCAAGTATTTGGATATTTTATGTTATAAAGAAGCATTGCGTTTTGAATTTTTATTTCAAAGATTATGCCTTTGCTCAGAAATATTTATACTCTAATTGGTATCTGCTAGCTTCTTGTGGCTGCATGGCATATCATTGAATTGCATGGTCTAAAGCAGCATCTATTTAGTATCAGAGGAGGAAACTCAAGATTTCTTTTCCTGGTAGAACTCAGACATTCTAAAGCTAAAATCAAGGTTTCATTCATAATGAGATCTCAAGAGACGTATGTCATAGTAACCATGAGGTTGAGAAAAAAAATTGGCATATAGGCTCTGAATGACTGGCATCAAGTTCATTCAGGTTAATGCTGTAAGTCCATTTCTGGTGGTCACTGTTCTGAAATATCAGGTTCCAAATAAGATATTTTTATGGAAGCCACTTGAGTTTTAATGATGCTTGCATACTATGACTCTGGGCTGCATCAACAAAAATCTTCAACAGAGAATCATTATCTCTTCTATCTAAGAAATCTCTCTCATACTCTGAATTTGGAAATTCTGGGAAAGTTTGTCTTCTTACAGAACTTAGCTGTTTAAGGTCTCATCAGTCCAGATTATCTCTCTTCTCAAAGTGAATTGTGGCAGAAAATTTAATCTGCTTATTGGAATAATATTTACCATAGACTGACATAGAAGATGTACGCATATAGGGTATGTACATGTCAGAGATGACTGGTAACCTTCTTATATTTCACTCTCACAGGGTCATACTGTGTTTAGTCTATAATGTGCTTGTTTTCATAATTTATTTTTTTTGTTTGTTTTTTACGAGACAGGGTTTCTCTGTTTTATTTTGGAGGCTATCGGTCCAGCTCGGCCTTGAACTCACAGAGATCTGCCTGCCTCTGCCTCCGAGTGCTGGGATTAAAGGCACGTGCCACCACCACCCGGCTGTTTTCATAATTTAGATGGGCAACATGTTAATTAATATATTTTCTAAAAGTAGTCTAAACTCTCTTTAAAACATTAGAATGTACTTGTAGAGAAAGCAGTGAGTATTCATGCAGTATGCAATAGTCAAGCAGTAGCTCAAGTCCTGTTTTCCTCTACAAAATTTTTATTATTTCTTTCTTTGAGGCAAGGTTGCTGTATACCCCATGCTGTCCTGTAATTTGCTACATAGCCCAGACTGGTCTAAAATTCAGAGAGAGCAACCTGACTCTGACTCCTGAGTATTTGGACTAAAGGCATGGGACACCATGGCCAGCTTCAATTTGTTTACATGTAAAAGAATACAAACACAACCTACTATCACACATACTGAATGAGAACTGGAATTTTTTAAAGCTCTAGTTGAGAATTCAAACTCACACATGTTTTCTTTTATTGTTTCATTTTTATTTAAATTAAAAACAATCTTATTTTATATACCAATCCCAGTTCCCTCTCTCTTCTGTCCTCCTACTTCCATCATTATCTCCCCATCCCACCCCCATCCACTCCTTAAATAGTCACCCAAGTTTTCTTATAGCCTTTCCCTTTATTTTGAGATGCCTCAACAGACTTTTAAAAAATGACATTGTGATTTGATGTGGAAGAACCTGGGAGATTAGTAACAGAACTGAGGTATGCCTAAGAGGGCATTACAATGACTACTAGGTAGTTGAGTTCTGACCTAGAACCTAACCAACCCCTTCATGGATTCACAGTATGATGGAAGACAGGAAATGTAGGGTAGGAAGTGGGTGGCTGGAAATCTGCACTTAGATTGTATTTTATCCTGGACGTTACCCGTATACCATCTTTTGACTGCTCCTGGCCACCATGAAGTGAGCTGTTCTTTCTGGAAGTTGCTCCCTATCAGAAAGAGCTTATATTTCTGAAAGCATAATTAAAACTAAATAAATCTATTCTTCATATTGGTTTTGTTTTGTATTTGTTAGCAGTTGTGTAAAAGTGAACAGAAGAGTTGAGTATGATAGCTGAATTTTTTTCTAATTAGCAATTCAGGAAAAAATGCTATGTGTATTCATGTGTCAAATTTAAAATGACAGGGATTTAATTTTGTGTTATATAACTTTTTGATTTTTAAAAAAAAATTTAACCAGTGAATAGAGACTAGGATACTAGAATGTTCAACTTTGATCACTGTAAGATGAGAATAATAATAATGTGTCAATTTGGAAACATGCATATAGTCCATTTTTCCTGATGAAACAAAGTGTGCAGAAGAATTTTATTACTGAAATTTCCTCTAATAACAAACATTGTCAACAATAGTTGACTAGCAGATTTGAAGTGTACTGGGCATATTATAGAGATGAATTTAATTAAGACTTGTGACATAGATACTTTGGAAATACATGGACTGGCTCAGGATATTATCATATGCCAAGGCATAATCAGAATTCAAAATATAGAGATTCCATATGAGAAATCCTTACTTTTAAATAATAGATTCTCTGATAACTGTTTCTTGGATAGTGGCATTTTAGTTTTCTGAGAAGTGACAGCTATAAGTTAATGAGGCTTGTATAGGCAAAACAAGTTTTTGGGCTCTTGTGCATTTCTGGAGAGACAGTTACAAAAGAAGACTACCCAAAAGCCTATTTATTGTTCAGTTTTAATGCCTGATTTATCATGTTCTGGGTTCTCAGGACACCTGACACTTGGACTTAGGACAGGAAGTGGTAGGTCCAAGAAGAACAGCAAAGAAAATATTTACCAATGATTCAGAACCTGATAATGGTCAGTCCTGAATGGATGTGCTTTCATATTTTGTCTCATTAATCTAGAAAATTAACGAATCTGTCTATCTACCTAACTATTCACACACACACAAACACACACACACACACACACACACACACACAAATACAGACACACTTAAGCAAGTTTTAAAATGTTTAAGTGAGGTTTCTGTTAACATTATAATTGATGTAAACTAAGATAACTTAATTATTTATATGAATGTCTTATTATATATTATGAGAAGCTCTAAGCCCTTCAATCATCGAAATGTAAGTTCCAAAAGGAATTGTGTATAAATTTCTGGTGACAAATTCAGTCATTTATTTCATTCCCATCTGTTTAAACCACGAGCTTAAGTTTAAAATGGGTATTTTTATCAAATAGCACATGCTGAAGATTTGAAGCCATAGCATGACCGATGACATTCAGGTCATGGGTAAACATATGGTCTGCCACACCGACTCCATTAACCATCCATCAATGTAATTACATAATACATCAGAGGAAGTAGTTTTCAGCCATTGAGTGGGAGCATCCTCCATTAATTTAACTGGATTAGTATCACTTTTCTTATCTTATTTGGTCATATAATCTAAAATATTTTAAATATTTGGTATTTCCCTTTATATGTACTTTTTTCACTGACAGAAATTCTCTTTTTTTTGCTCTTATGTTGTTTAAATTAGAAACTATCTTGCTTTAAATATCAGTCCCATTTCCTTCTCCCTCCAGTGCTCCCCTTCCCCACCAACAACGCCCTATCCCATCCTTTATCTGCTCCACTGGGATGGTAAGGCCTTTCATGGGGAATCTTTAAATTCTGTCACATCATTTGGAGTACTTCTAGGCCCTCCCCCATGTATCTAGGCTGAGAGAGTATCCCTTTATGTGGAATGGGCTCCCACATTTCCCTAGTACCAGATTTCTTTTTAAACCTATAATGGCTCCCTCTATTATGGTATCTCTTTTCTTGCTCTCTTCTATTGTTCCCCTGACTCAATCTTCCTGTACCCTCATGTCCTCCTCTCCCATCCACTTCTGCATTTCTCTTTCTTCTATCTCCCACCTCCTCCCCCAATGCTCCCAATTTGCTCAGGAGATCTTGTCCCTTTCCCCTTCCCCGGGGACCATGTATGTCTCTCTTAGGATCTTCCTTCTTTCCTAGCTTCTCTGTGTGCATGGATTATAGGCTGATAATCCTTTGCTCTGTGTCTAATACCCATACATGAGTGAGTACATACTGTTTGTCTCTTTGTGACTGGGTTATCTCACTCAGGGTGGTTTCTTCTAGCTCCATCCATTTGTCTGTGAAATTAAAGATTCCATTGTTTTTTCTGCTGAGTAATACTCCATTGTGTAAATGGACCACATTTTCTTTATCCATTCTTCATTTAAAGGGAATATAGGCTGCTTCCAGGTTCTGGCTATTAGAAATAATGCTGCTATGAGCATAGTTGAAAAGATGTCCTTGTTGTATGAATATGCATCCTTTGGGTATATGACTAAGAGTGGAATTGTTAGATGTTGAGATATACTGATTGCCATTTTCCTGAGGAACCACCATACTTATTTTCAAAGTGGTTGTACCTGTTTGTATTCCCACCAGCAGTGGAGAA